TAAAGAGAAGGCTTACACTAATGAGGAACTCATCAGAATTCTAACCACAAGAGGCAAAGCACAAATCAATGCAACCCTTAACCAATTTGGCAATGCCATTAACAAGGTATTTTAAGTCATTTTGTTAATGTGTGTTAGCGTATGTTGTTTATAAACTTGAGTCAAATTGATGTCAGGAGCACCAACCATCTGTTTTTTATTGAGTCTTAAAATTGTATACAAGCAAAGTCTTCTCTTTCCATTGATAAATAGAGAGTAGTGATGAACCAGAACAAAGAAAAACCCTAAAAAATAAAATGCAAAATCAATCAAGAAAAGATGAGCAAACAAAGCTGAATCTTTTCTCAAACGTCTTCACTCTTTAATTATCATTTACACTTATTCACGCGCGACCCTCTGGATGCTGCTATCAAGGGTGATACATCTATCTGGGGACTATCAAAAGATGCTTCTAACCTTGATTGGTCGTTGAACATGATTCTCTTCTCATTCAAGCAATAAAAATTTAATAAAGAAATGAATTTTAGATGAACAAGCATTGTCCAAAATCTTTGTAATAGGGCTGTGGGTCCATAGGTTGAGCTTTACTGTTTTGGTTAATATTTTTTGGTAAGATAAAAATAAATTAGAAACTCTTGACCACACATTTTACTAGCGTCACATGTCAAAACTTCTTTCATCTATGTTCATGTATGCCTTTTTGAGCAAGAAAATTGGGCTTGCATCAGCCAAATCTAGTAAGTATAATAATAAAATTAAAAGATAGCAGCATTAATGAGAAACACATAATGCTGTGCAATACCCCAATTCTAACATTCTATACACAGTACAGTCTCACACAGTAAAATTTTCAAAAATTATAAGGATAATAATATCTAACTCAGATTATCGACAACAAAATCATATATTAACATGTTGCAAAACAAGAAACTGGGAGCAAAATTGCTTTGTCTTTACTCTCTTCTGAGACCTTGGAAGAGGCTTCACTGCATTCCTGAGGACACAAAATACTCTCTGATTATCACCATCAAAGTTTTATGGTTATAATTCAGATATATTTAGTGGTAGTAGAAAGCATAGTAATGATAACATTAAACAATAACAGTGTTTTTTTTTCTGGAGGGGTGGGCGAGAATCTACATCACTTCTTCAAAAGCTTTTGAGAAAAAATCCTCTTGGAATACGGGCTGTTGCGTGAAATTGCTTTATGAGACTCAATTGCTTCAACAAGTGAATTGTGTAGGGAGCCCTAGTGAGAAGGAAGAATCAGAACATTAATAAAGGGGAGAAAGATGGCTGCAAAAGCAAAGAACAAAAATCTGATACAAGAGTTAATCCTCTGTAGGCACACAGTTTCTGATATAAACGATATATTAAGGAAACATTGTTGAATGACTTTAAACTCCAAATGCCAGAATCTGCATGATTAAATAATCCTGAACTGACCATTTCAATCCAAAGTCAAGCTCGATAATTTATCTTCTTTTGACTAGATATTAGATGAGTTATACTTTTACCTAGGTTTGCCCATAATCATAATTTTTTAAGATTTTAATTTTTATCCTTAAGTGGCATACACCTAGTGGTTTCTCTACACCACATAACTGGAGCAACCATGACTCATTAAGCATGCAACTATTAATATTCTAAAAAGAAGAAAATACCAAAAGTGCTGTGCAAGCCAATGTTGAATCATATCTACCTCAGAAACATGAAGAGCTGTTTGAATAACATAGTTAGCATGCGGGTCTTGAAGCAGCTGTTCAAAGGGAGAGGCAGAGAGCAATTCGTGGATGATTCTTGACCTACTCTCATCATCAAAAACATGAAGACATTTTTCAACAACATGGCTGCTGAACTTCTGTATCGAGAGGTGCACATAGTTCCCTTCAAATTCAGAAATCAAACTCCTGATAGCATATGGAATTTTCAATTCCAAGATAAACTGAACAACATAGTTTCTGCAAAACAGAACACAGAACTCTTCTCTCAGGATAAAGGTGAAGAAAAAGCATAAGGAAATTTGTCAAACTTCAGAAGAAATTGTATTCACAAAATGACCGCAACCCTCCTCCAATTCAAGATTAAGAAAAGAGTAATGCTCCAACAAACTAATAATGCAAACTCCTATGTACAAGATGACTTAGTACTGTTCAGCTCTTTCCACATCATTCAATTTAATTTGCTTAATTATCTTTAGTTTTCTGCATTTATGTTATATCAGTTTATTAAAAACGTTTGAATATACGTCAAATAGTTACCCAAATGCATCTTCAGCAAGATGAAGTCCATTGGCTGAAATTTCTGCAATTAAGTTGTCACGATATTCCCCACTTGAATGACTTATGCACCGTTGCAGAACACAACACCCGTGTTGATGAGTTGCAATTTCAACACAATATTTTGCAGCAGCCACAAAAATAAACTGAGGAGAAAGAGATACAGAATGATAAATTAAGACTGAAAACAGATCCATTAATGATAACCAAAGTAGCCACAAAAATAAATTAAGACTGAAAATAAAAGCCTTAATGATAACCAAAGTAGGATTTCAAAATTTTAAGATAGCCATTATCGGTCACAAGCTCTTGAATTCTATTTTCTTAGTCAATGAAAGAGTGAAGCACTTAAAACTTATTTGGAGAACTTCATACGATTATGCAAGGAGCCTTGATCTGAGGCTAACTGCTAATTTTATTTATGGTTAAAGAATATCCATTTTCTTACCAAACATATTATAAAGGACAAAATTATGAAGTTAAAATCAAATTTAATTGTTTGCACACCTTATAAAGAAACTTATGTAGAAAGGCTTAAGTCATAGTATAAAGACTTTTTATCCATTTACACAGATTTATACGAATAATCATGGATTGCTATCTTTGTAGTGTGTCTAATCTGCTGAAACTTTTATTAACTTGACACCTTCAGTCCAAAGGTGTAGTAGGAACTCTGCAACCAAATTGATTCCTTAACTCTTCTGATTTCACATTCTCTCAATGCAGCCTAAACGTAATAATGATTGGTTACTGAAAACTTAAACTCTCTGAGGTTATTCTCGAATTTTCTGGGAGGCACATCAAGAGAGCCATATTTTATCACAAAGCATCTGTGGCTTAAAATTAGTTGGATGCCACCTAAACTTCAATGACTCGCTTGCTTCTCTAAATTCTCTGAAGTTAACGTTTCCAGATAAAAAAATGCCATGAAAAAGAGAATCCCTATTCGAATTATAATTCCAAGGGCCATGGTTTAAAAATTAATACCATCTTTCATTGAGGCCACCATGGTAACTTTGGCACCTCTCTATAAGTTAAATTTATTATTGCAGTCATTTATTCATAACAAGAACAACTTGTCATCCAGCTTTCCTTTTAAATCTCAGCTTTCAAGTAGGGCTTTAATTTCTCTCCTTCCATGACCTTATATTCAGCCTTCAACATTCAACAACTTGCTGCCAAAAAGAATATTACTATTAGCCTCACAATTACTTCATCATCTCAACTTCTTTTTTGTGTTTGTGAACTTCCTCACATTGTTACCATAGATACTTCAAATGCTGAATAAAAGATCGTTTGGTAGAGCCACGAGTTCTAAGATATCCATGTCCTAATATACTTTGAGTTTTAAATATTTGAGTTCCTAGTCACACTTAAAGGCGCAGCCTAAACATCATAATGTATGATTGAGTGGAGCTCAACAAAATAGTATGTGTTCATAGAAATTATCAGAAGATAGAAAACTTATATGCGAGTAATGGCTCTTTTTCATGCAAGTACTTTACAGGTAGATAAGTCCTTGAATGTCACTTCTAGTGCAGTATCTACAATCTCAATTAATTCAAGATGGGTAAAAGAAAATGCTGATTCCAAGTTGGAAGACCCTGGGAAAAGAATAGTTTTTTAAGTGCACACTAAATAAAAAAGAGCTCTTTGTTGTCCTTTCACATTCCGGAACCCTTCCAGGAAGTACAGGTTTCAAATCTGATAAAAGTTGCATCTTATTTTGGTTTTCAGTAACAGCAGAAGCAGAAGGTACAATATCATCCTGAAGTAAGGTAGAGACTGGAGTTGTTTGCATTTCAAAAGGGATGTTCCCAATAACATTAAATTTCATATTTAACATTAAATTTCATATTTTGCATTAGACTAGTACATAAACCTCTTTTAAGGAAATCCTAAGGAAACTACTTAAGTAATTGTATCTGAAATGAAGAACAGCTAAAGTTTGGTTTGCTTACTAGAACATAAAGCTATATCTTTCATGGTCCTTACCTTATTGACAAACCATGAGAAACATCCTCAGATTCTAATTAAGAACCCAACAAAATTCACTTTATAAGAATAAAACAACTTCATGTTAGATTTTTCCAGAACAAGGATTAAAAACCTGCAACTATAACTGGTCTGGGACTGAAAAAACTCAGCAGTTTACTTTTCATCGAAGACACAGGGCCGAGTAATAAAACAAAACTATGTCATTTGTCCCTGATTATCAAAATAAGCATGATGGAAGCAAAAATGATTTCAAAAAAATGAGAATGAAATGACAGAATAAAGCAGCTGCGAATATACAATTTCAAAAAATTTGCAACACTTCTAATGCACAAAAAAATGCAATGCCAATGATGACAACAGCTGAGGCAACTGCTCATTTGTTAATAGATTGCAAGAGCATTATGCAAAATTGTTCAAGATGGATTAGCAAGAATTACGAAAACTGAGAGATTATATGAATTCTATTTCTTTAATACAGTCATTCAACAAGGTTTAGTAAAAACTAAGCATACAGAAAGGCACATTAAGAACCAATAGTATGCATAATATATGAAGCAAAATATAAAGAGTATTTTGTAACTACACTCAGAACATAATAAGAGCATTAAATTTACCTGGTTATCTTCATAAGTAAAGCATTGCAAGCAACGTTGGACCACATGATTTCCATTCAGGTCCTTGATGAGATTACGAAACCCTGGTTCAAGAGCCGATATAACTAGCAAAATCTGCTGTCTGGTTTTGAGGGTCTCAATCAATTTTTGAACTACACGAGTGCTGCATAAGGGAATAAAAAAGGTTAAAAATAAAATAAACAAAGTGATAAAACTGACTATCTCTAACACTTACCCATGAGTGTTTAAAGAGATTCTAACAAGTTCCCCAGGTTCTTCAGTAAGCATGAGCAGAATCTGCATTCTCTGTTCTTCATTACACACCTCCAATAACTTCTGCATAAGGTAATTCCCAAACGGGTTCATCATAAGTTCAACTACATGGTCAATGATCTCATCAAATATTATTTGCACATTTTGTTGGGAGCCCTCATCAAACATCTTTTGTAAGAATCGACAACCATGTTGATCCTTCGCTATAAAGTAAATATAGCCTCGAGCTTCTGCCAAGGATTTATATTTTGAAGACGGAGAGAATGGGCTGCAAAACTTGGCAATTCCAGCATTTCCACAAATTCCCGCCATTTGGGTCCGACCATTAAGCTGTGACCTTCTTTCCAGACTCCAACCAACACCGACCTCATGTATGCTGCCCTTATTCTGACCACTTGTGTGATTGCATCCCTTATTCACTAGGTAATTTAAGCCATTGCCTTGAATTATGTAGCCATCCTCATTACTATAAGCCCCAAGACCACCCTGTGGGATTCCAATGTTTGAAGGGACTCTAGGCCTTCCATAAGTTAGCGGCATCCTGCGTTGCAGCAGATTTTCAACACTCATATGAGGCATTGGATGACTCAACTGAGGAGAATTGGGAAAATTCAATACACCTCTTTCTTCACTCCAATGCATTCCATTTCTTTGTGCACAAAATAAAGCATCATTAATAGAAAGTCTACCAAAGGTAGTGCACGAGTTTGATGTTGGAATCCCTATTTGAGAATAGTTGTTTGGCTGCTCCTTTATTTTCTGCAATGGAGAACTCATTGACCCATTGCACATATTTAACTCTTGCCGAGAAAAGAAAGCATCAGATCGACCAGGAATCAGTTGCGAACCCAACAAATTACCCATTCTATATTCTTGCTCCAATCCCAACAATGCCGAACTCATATCACTATCAAACCCCTCAGCAGTTCTTGAAACAGGGGACTGAAATCCTATATATTTCTCAGCATTCATTTGATTACTTCCACCCCTAAAATCACCAAATCTAGGCCCAGTCTGGTATGGTGGGAAATATTTAACGTTTAAACAATCATATTGGTCATTACTAAGGTGCATTTTGCCAAGATTTTTACAAAGACTCATTTCATCAATCACACACTCATTGTCCTTCCTAATGGGCAAATCCAAATCCAATGCTAATCCATCTGGGTAAGAACAAGTTTCACTAGGCAAATGATATTTAAGTTTAACCTCGGGTGGAGGTGGTGATCCATTATCAGATAAAGAATGTCCATTTGAGAACAAACTTGAAAAAGAGGAGCCATCTGACTGCAATGAGAATCCACTAACAGGAGAAACACAATATTGTCTCAATGCCTCATCATCACGTACACCATACATACCATTACCATCAAGATGATCTTGATGATGATGCTGTTGTTGATTCATATGATGATGATGATTATAAAGATTAAATGATGTTACATGAGGGATCACATCCAACAACATTTCAAACTCTTCATCTTCCTTCATGGTTTCTCACCAAACCAACAATCAAACAACAACAAAGAAAAACACAGACAAACAACACAACACAATACAAGTACATAAGAGTATAACAGCAATCCAAGAATCAATATAGGCACATAAGAAACGGATTAAAAAAGGGTAAAAACGAAAAACCCAGAAGGGATTACCAGTTTTGAATCATCTGGGTTGGGTTGGGTTGGGTTGGATTGGATTGGGATGAGGGATTAAATTACAAAAAAAAAAAAAAAAAAAAAAAGGAAAGAATGATGTCGTTTGGGTTTTGGAATGTTTTAGAGGAGTTGGTGAAGCATGCAAAGATTGAATAAGATTACTTTGGAAATTAGAACCGTAGATAAATACAGTCTCACGCCATTAAAGCTGGAGAACAAAGAGACGCTATATAGCTATTTTATGTAGCCTCGCCTCCACAAAACATACTTCACTATAACTAAATCAATAGTGTGAGTCAGCCTTCTTGATACTAATTTTTTTTTTTTCAATTTAAGGGATAAATACAGAAAACACCCATGTGTTTCATGAATTATAGTAACCCTTCTATTATTGAAAATATGACATAACCCTTATTTTGTTAATTTGGTAAGTTAGAAAGTATGAGTTTTAATTTGGATGATGGTTGAATTTTGATTAAAGATTTGAGTGATGCTACACTTATACTATTTTTTTACACCATTTGTAAACATCAGATGTGGCATATGCTACAACCACATAAATTTTATTAATATTAAAAATTCAAAATAATTAAAATTTGTGTGGTTATAACAATATCACTCATGATGTAATGAAAATTGTATAAAAGAGTGATGTAAGTGTAACTTACTCTAAGATTTCATTAGAATACTATTAGTGGGGTTTCCAATACTAGCCGGGCTTACTACTATATTGTAAAACACATGGGGTATAGCCGAATTAATCTCTTATTATTCTTATTTACTTAAAATGAATTAAAATATTTATTAATTATAAATGATAAAATAAGAATAATTACCAATAATAAGATTATTTTAAAAAAAAAAATTGTTAATTAAATAAATTGTTGGTTTTACAATTTAGTTCTTCATATATATTTAGATTATTTATTCATAAAATATATTAATCTCGTATATATTATAATCTGTATTCAGGTTTGATAATTTAGTTTTAAAATAAAGCATATTAAACTAGTAATACAAGTTTGTCCAAGGCGACATAACCTGTTACTTTACTAAAGCTAGAAAACAAGTTCTTTTTCTCTTTTATTTTTCAATTTAATTACTGTATATTGATATTTACAACTGGCTTTTCATTTACCAATTTAATTATATTGATATTTGAGAAATTATTAATTTAAGGCAAGTTGCAATCAAATTCCAAGGCATGGATTATTATTTTGAATTTCTAGTATTTTTAATTTTCTTTAAAAAAAAAATTAGCTTAATTTATTTATTTATATTAAAATTATTAATTTTTTTTTTCAATTAAATGTATTAATGTTATTTTACAAGGTATTTTCAGTTTAGGATAAAATAAGAATTTCATTTTTAGTTAGGGTTATGTTAGTCTTTCTCATTTCTAATATACCACTCAATTTTAATAATAAGGGTATTATAGTCATTTCTTTCATATCAATTAACTTTTGATTAAGTTTTAAGGACGTGGATTATTTATTTTTATTTTTTTTATCTGTTGTAATCTAATTCAAGCCCATCTCGTCTATTGAAAACAAAAAAATTATAAAGACAATTGCTAGTTTAGATTTATTATCGTTTCTTTAGTTTTATTATTATTTATTATAAGGTTGCACATTTTGTGCTACTAATAAAAACTCATATTATTTTTACACATGTTACATTGTTGTCATGAATAATTCTATTTGCTTTATATATCTTTAATCTTCTCTTAGCGATAAACATAATTAGTATTTAAATATTAAATATGTTTACAATTCCTTTAATTCTTTAATATTTTTTTATAAGTGCCCAATTATTATGTGACACATATAGTAAATTGGGAAGATAAAAAAAAAAAAATTGAAAACGAAAAATTCCTTCCATTTTTGGCTCTCTCTCAACGTCAGATTTAACCACAATTAGATAATATCAAGTGGTCCTTCATTAATTTGTTTCTCTTATGTTTTAAAAGTAATCTAATTCAAACCCATTTCACCTCTTAAAAAAACAAAAAAACAAAAAACAAAAAAAAACCGTTAGTTTTAATAATATTTTTTTATGAATTATCTTTATTGTCTTATCTTAATACCTCTTTATATGCTATATTTTATGCTTATAATCAATTTTTTTAGCCTATCAAAGATATTCGATCATTATTTTATAGTTTGTCACTCATTGTAAGTTCAAAAGTTATATTAGTACGCGTTAGTGTACCTTTTATGCATATTTTGTGTTATTTATTTTACACATACTCTATTTAATCATATAATTTTTACTCACATTTATATCTTTGTTCCTTGACCTTAAATTATTTATATATAGTTATTTTTTTATTTTTCCTATTGTAGATACAAAAAACTCTACGGTCAAGGAAATGATGAATCTTATGAGATTGAGGCCACTAACAACCCTTTAGACCTGTACACACGAAGAGACAAGCGTGAAGCTTACGAGAAGTACTAAAGTGATGTTTGCCGTCGACACTTTGACGCTCAAGTTAGCAAGGTTAAAAGAATATTTAATAAGAGTTAAAGGAAATAAAGATTACTAAGAGTCTTGTCGGAAGCCACGATTACGGCAAAGTGTAGAATTCTCATGAGCAAAAACTTATGAGCAAGTAGGTGGTAGTGATTAGTGGAGATTGAATGAATTATGAGAGGGTATGCCTCTGTTTATATAGGGAACCCAAGGGGTTGGAATCTTAGTAGAACTCTGAGTCCTACTAGATAAAAGAGTCATTCTTAGGAAAGGGATAGGATCTCATTTCCTTTTTGGGTTAAAGATAGGATCTCTTTGCCTTATTAGGTTAAGTTTAACATTAATTATTGTAATCTAGGATCCTGATAGAACTGGAAACAAAATAGGATTATGTTTCCTATTTTGGACTACTGTGGGCTAGTGGGCTTGACTTATCTTAGCTTAGATTGCAGGATAGTCCAACTCATAGAGAGTGTAGTTCACATGATAAATTTAAGCATAGGCTCAACTGAAATTGGGTTAAGGCCTTGGGCCGTCATATGTATATCTTGTACGTTAGACCTCGTCAGACCCAACACGATTTTTTTCCCATAGGCCTCATACACCTATAATGCAAGAAAACTTTGCGTATAAGAATAGTAAAAAAAATTCACATAGATTGTATCAATTTTTTTAGTTTTGCATCAAAGTTAATAACCATGGCATATGGAAGTAATTTTGAATTAGTTGAAGTTGTAAAGGGCAAACTTGAATAAGGATTTTCACAATAATTCAATTTGTCAAATATTGTTGAAAGTATTTTTCAGTGGCCCACATTTACAAACTGCTTAATTCTTAATTAATGGTTAAAACAAGAGTTATCATAATATTTCATAAACTATATAATCAAGTTTCATTAATTTATTAACAATCAAGTTCCAACCACAAAATAGCACCCTGCATTTACGCTCTATTCTATAAAATTATGATTAACCTTAAAAGCAAATGAATTTCAAATAAAATGATGTTCTGTATCTTTGTATAAATCTAATGTATTTTTATTTACCAATATTATCAAAATTAAATAAAGAGTTGTTTCGATAAGATAAAAAAAAAATATCCTTTAATTAAAAACAAATTCTTATAAACATATCTCCAAATTTTATTAAAACAAAATACTTAAAAAAAAATATATAGAAGTGATAATCAATAAGGAGTGATGTTTTAAAAGAATTAAAACACTATTTAATACCGAAGGACAGAAAAGGTATAGGGTTGATTGGGCTAAAAGTGATTTGTTCAGTAAATATTTGCTTTATTTTATTTTAGAGCGGTCACTGGATTAGAAAAACCTTACTTTTAATCATTTTTATAACGGTTAAAAGAATAAGAGTAATATTACACCAATAACCATTTCTCATTAACTTCCTCTTACAATACTGATGTGGTAATTCACAATTAGTCAGTTCGTAATTAATTAGTAAGACCCATACGGGATCCATATGGGACCTATTGTGAACTGACAAAATACAAATTGCCACGTCAGGATTGTAAGAGAAAGTTTGAAAGAAAAGGTTGTTAGTATAGTAATATTCAAAGAATAAACCCATGAGGTAGGGGCAAATGATTAAAAAGCTATTTGGGCCTTGAATTTAATTAAAAGGTCATGTAGTTTTTCAGTCTTTACTCAATGACCTTCTTTTTTATTAAGACAAATTAATAACAATTAAACACTAATCATGGCTTAATTAGGGTTAATGAAGGCATTGAGTAATCTTTCAAAAATTATACTTTGTCCCCAAAAACCTAAAATTGTTGCATTTTAACATAAACCGAAATCAAAGAAATTGCTCCTCTCCCTCCTGCCATTACCATCGGAACAACCCCCTTGTTGTTGTTTGTTCTTAGCAAAACCGAAGCCCCTCCTCCTCCTCCTCTACATCTTCTTCTTCCTCTACATCTTATTCTTCCTTCGCCATTAACATCTTCTTCTTCTTTTGCCGAAGATCCGCCTCTTCCTCCTCCTCACATTTCGTTCAGGTATGTGTATCTTCTCTTTGTATTTTATATTTCTATTTACAAAGATTTAATGGATTGAGTTTGGGTTATGATTTTGATTTAGTGGTTTGGTTTCTTGGGTTGTATTTGATCAAATCTAAAAATGGAGATCCCTATGATAGAATTCAGTGATCTCGAAGGTCAGAAGAAGGACAAAACAATGGTGCTTCTGCATCAAGCCTGTGAGAAATGGGGCTTCTTCCAAGTAAAAAAGATGGGGTTTTCTTTATTTGAATATTTGATCAACACTTTATTCTAATACCAAAATGCTTTCTGCAGGTTGAGAACCATGGAATAGACAAGAAGTTGATGGAAAAGGTGAAGCAGCTGGTGAACTCACACTATGAAGATAATTTGAAGGAAAACTTCTATGAGTCAGAGATGGCTAAAAGGTTGAACAACAAAGATAATTTAAATGATACGGACTGGGAAAGTAGCTTTTTTATTTGGCATCATCCAAAATCTAACATCAATGAAATTACAAATCTTATTTGAGGATCTTCGGTTAGTCACTATGAATCTATCAAGCTAGAATTACGCTTTCAACTTACATATCTAGTTCAAAATAATATCTCTAAGGATAATTTATGTCAAATAATCTATATAAAAAACAAGATCACTTAAGCGATGCAGCTCTCGCTTAAGCGATTCAGTACTCATCACCACCTAATATCATATGTTCAAAACTTCAAACAAAAAGATCCTCAATCACCAAGCAATCTCATAAAGGACTCTTCAAAACCATTAAAATTGTGTTCTGATTCATTAAAATTGGCCTGGCAATTGATAAAACAACCTAAAAGTACAAAAATCTATACAAGGAAATTGTGTTCTATTTATGCTTCTTCCAAGGGAGTTGCCTTGTCCTTTTCATCAATATAAGTACAGAAGTTTGTATAAGGAAATAAATCAAGGACACGAATTAGGAAACCTTGAATGGATTCTATTAATTTCTACGACAATTTCGGTTGTGAGCTCAACCTGGCATGCATTTATAACCTCCTAAAGCTAGCTGGACTTGGTAGCTCCAAATACAACACTTGCAATAAGAGGGTGTCTCAAAACAAATGAAAGGGTTTGATTAATCATAGTACAGTGCAAAAGACAACAATTTGTCATGCTTTAAACCTTACTGCAGCAATTCAGTAAATCACACAAATACATAGAGAGAGAGAGAGAGGTTATACCAATTCCCTGCTGCAGATGCCTTCCTTTCTTCTCCCTTCGTTGCTTCAAACCTTACTCAACAGCAATTCCATACCCTTACTCAACAAAAATTCCATACCCTTCCATGCCAAACCTTACTCAACGTACAACCAAGAGCACAAATAACCCAACAATAGACCTACAATGCACATAAACCAGTCACAACAAGAACAACAGCAATCCAATGACTCAATAACAAGAGAAAAAGGCTATTTCATTAAGATTCCAAAATTTACAAGATAACGAAAAAAAAAAAAAAAAAAAGAGATAAAAAAAGGCAACACCCAACTGGTCTTTTCCCTTTCTACCCCCTTTTCCTTTCCTCCAGCACCCCCACCAAAAGCCGATCCTTGTTGGCTGCCGAAACCTCCAAATTCACGACCACTTGTAGCATAATTCTCTCTCATAATTCAGCATCAATTCTTTTATTACTGGTCATATTCAGCACCATTTGTACAACTTCTACAGCTTCCAAAAAAAAAAAAAAAAATTGAATAAACAATAAAGCATAAAACATTGATAACTGAAGAAAAAGATTACTGTGAAGTATACTGATTTCATATTCACTAACATATCATATGATCTCATACATTAATAGTATCCAAAAAAATCGAACAAATATGTATTTTTGCATATATTTTTCAGGAAAAAACTTAAAACTCCAAATGGATGTATTCTAAGCCGTTGGGGACCAAAATTATAAAGATCATTCACCATAAAGTCTATGTTAAAATTATTTCCACCAGTAGCTGTTAAAAAACACACACAAATGGGTGCTCTAGACTTCATAGAAGAGAGTGGAATTTTTTTCTTTTTTTTTTTTTTTGGGGGGGGGGGAGGTGGGTGTTGGGGTGGGCTCGGGGCTGTCTGCGCATGGACAACATATTTCCTCTTATTATAGTGTATTTTTCCTCAGCACTTGATTGCGATTGTTAAGACTCCACTTTTTCTTCTAAATGCAACTTATGAACATGGCAAGTTAATCCTACATCTATACGATGCAACAAAATGAAAAACATTTCCTTTATGTTCTTCCCAAAAGTCATCCATTTGCAAAGGTTCCTAAAGATTTTAGTTTCTTGTTGTACGTAGTTCCAAATTTAGACATAAACAACTTTCTTTAGATGCTCAAATTCATAAAAGTTATTGTCTTGAGCAAAGATTAACTGCTACTTTGTTCTCACAATTGGCACATGGATGGTGGGTGATTTGAAGCATGAAATTTCATGGCTTGTAATGCCTATAAGCTGCCTTAAAAATGGTGAGACCTGAGCACCCAGATGAATCTATCTGAGTTCTTTTTCCTTTCTATTAATCAGATTCAGGTCAACTTAGCTCCACCATCAGTTGATCCTCATGGCAATTGGCATGAATGCAGAAACAACTATGCTCGTTGCATAGCATCCCAAATTGGTTTTATTATAAAAAAAAAAAATATGATCTTAGCCATTGTAACTTAACCAGGAATGGCAAGGAATGACAAAAATGTAAGAGTAAAGAAATTGAGAAATGGCAGAAAATTGGAAGAAAAAGTGAGAGAGATGAAGGTGTTTGAATAGTGTTGTGGAAAGAGAAACTAAGAGGAATGTTTTTGCCTATCAAATTTTAAATCAACTTCTTTTATATATCCTTTAACCCCCACGCGTAAATCTTTTCACCATAACCCTTTTTGCTGCTTCAACTACGCTTAAGTGTGTCACATCAGATTTTTAAACCCAAAAAAATCAAAAACCTTTTCAAGGTTATATTCTCAATGAAACTTGGGAAGGCATATAAGTTAAATTTCCTCCATGAGCTTTGTTGAGTAGGAATGGAATATTTGTTTTTAATGCATAATATTCTTTCCATATAATTTTCATTATTGCCAGGATTTCATTCCATATAATTTTCATTATGCCTAGATTTCATGTAATTGAGAAATCATGGCAAATTGCTACATTTTCCTTTTATTGTCACATTACACTGTCTAAAAGGGCACAAAGCATATGAAGATAGACAAATACAATATAAAACATTGCTTCTTAATTCTTTATCTTCTCTTGGCATTCTATGGCAGACATTCTATACTCTTGTCTTCTTTATTTTGTCTTTATTTTCTTCAATCTCTGACATGGTATCAGAGTAGGTCAATTGAATAAGCTTCCACTTAGCTAACCTCTTCATTCTGTCCCTGTAAATACAAACAGAAGCTCGATTAGAAATCTCTTCATTCTATCCTGATTTTTTTTTTTTTTTTTCAAACAGAAACTTGGTTAGTATCTTTTATCTCTTCTTAAACAAAATGTCAAACACTCAAGAACCAAAAAACCAGGCCTTCAATACCATAGCCAACCCAAATACAACAGGCCCAAACACAGCAACGCCAATAGGCCCAAACCCAACAACATCAATAAGCCCAAATCCACCAACATAAACATGTACAATCCTACAAATGGAATCTGGCTCATTTCCATCAACCCAACCAGGGCCAAATCCATTCTCCTACTCGTTTACCTTTTTGGGTTATTGTTAGAGTAGATGTCCTAGAGTCAATCAATTATTGTAGAATTAACTCTTTGTAATAATGTTTATTAACCAATAAAAGACATTTTATTCTATATTATGTAAATCATATCTGTATGTATTGATATATGTCCTTAGGATGGTGGAACCGTGACAAGGGTATCAAGTGTTTCAAATATTGATAGTAAGAACCCTATGATCACATATGGTGGCCATTCTAGAAATGTCTGTAGCCCTAATTCTAACCAAGGACATAGATAATACGGTAAGGCTATCATAGTGTTGAACGACCCTATTGAAAGATAGTGACTGATCTCACTTGTCAAAGTTGTTTGCCGACAACCTGGTGCAACGAATGGGTACTTGCTGGAGGCAAGTTCACTAGACAGACCCTACCAAAGGATTCCATATGAATGGTAACCCTAGTGTCTATGGAATAAATCATCTAATGGCTATGCATGTGATCCTTAGACTTGAGATCACCGAAGCACCTTGTGCACTGATTGGTGTAGTACTTTGACACTAGCCCAACATAGTTCTATTCAGAGCTATCAATACGGTAGTGATTGGCTACATCGAGGAGTGTATCAAGACTATGGTAGATCAATAAATGATTCATCACTCCTGGGTATGAGAGAAGCTATCTCACTGTGCAATTCTGTAAATGGCAATGACACCAAATTTGTAGCCATAGTGGGTTAAATTGTTGCTCAATCTAATTTATTTATCTGGTTATTGGTCTAGTAGCTAAATACATAGATATTGAGAATAACTGAGGTTGACACTATTTTTGTACCTCGGCCTTGATGAGATAATGTATGATGAAAGGATTTGATTGCACGGTAACCATATCGTTGATAGGTAGCTATTTCGCTGAATCCGAATCTATCGGGTGGCCATGATGCCTTGCTAGGGCCAATCTTGATATGTGTGTAGTGAGAAGATTAATTGGTGTTAATCATGATACCAGTTACTACTGATATGATAAGAAGACTACAGGTTACGCACTTAGAAGATAATTTAAGAATTAGTTTGTGAAAGGAGTATTTTTGTCTTTTAAGATGAAAGGGTATTTTGGTAATCTCACAGTGTAGTTAAGTTTGTTAAGGTTGATGCCTGTATTTAATTTTAATATTAAAATTAAAATTAATGAGATTATATTTAAATATATGTGCGCATATATTTAAATGGATTATTATTATTAATTAAATGTTAATATTGATTTTAATTATATTAATAATTAATTAAAATTTAAAAATACCAATTAAAGGGTGTTTGGTTGCAAGGGTCGATTAGGGTTGGAGCCCATGGCTATTCCTTATTGGAATAGAGTTTGTCATTCTAGCAAACTGGCCTTTGGTTCTTCGGATTATCTTCGTGTGTATCACTGTTCGTGCGATCTATATTGAATAGGTAGTGAAATAAATTCAGAGACACTTGAAAGAGCCTCCAAACATGCGTAAGATTTCTAATCCTCGAATGGATTGATTTTGTTTTGTACAGAATTTTGTTTTAACATGTGAACTATATAATCGATACCCGGATCTTGGCAAAAAGGGCAATTGATCTATCCTTTAATTTTTATTTTTTCGCTGCGTTGGTAGATCAATTCCTTGTAGTTATCCCAAGGGTTAAAATGCCCAAACGAGTCATGAACCCTGCCTAACACAACAACCTTTCACATTCCACATGATACCAACCGCCAGCCATCTCCTAAACTAGGCGACGTTTTGTATACGCTAGCGTCCAATGGCCTAGAAGTCAACCTTATCAAGGTGATCTTAATC